CGTACTTTCCCTGATAAATAGCAATAACGACGACATTTATTAACGAACGAGTAAATTCTAATAAAAACTATAGTAATAGATACAAGAATTAGGAAAAGAATAAAGAAAAATATATTATTATGTATCGCGGTACTGAAGAGCTTCATTTTGAATGTAACTGGAGAATGTAACTCGACATTGTTGATATACTTATTGATTAACTAATTTAGTAATTTAGTAATAGTTTATTGAACCTCGAGGATAATAATATTTATTATTTAATAGGTAAACCTCAATGAGATACAATAATGAAGGAAAAGAAACTTTTTCAATTTTCTAAAACTGTCCAGAGTGTCAAGATGGTAAAGAATATCGAAGAGCCTCGTTTTAAACGTGTCCAGAGAAAAAAGTGACAGTGTATACATTAAGTAGCTAATTTAGTAGACCTATTTATTACATTTTGAGAACTGCAGCATGTATTAATAATTGATGGCAAAAATGTTCATCGTTACAGAGTCTAACAGGATTCAATGCTCATTTATTCATCGCCAGATCAAAGTAAATCCGTACTCCATAATTTTCCTTGTATCGCATTAACAACTCATAAGCATAAAAAATCATCATATTAGAGTCTTTCACTAACTCTAATAGCCTTTTGTACAATATTATGTACAAAATAAGATAGTAACAGTAAACGTTGAAATCTAAAATTGTTGAAAAAATAATTCTTGTTTAGTAGATACTAAATCAAATTGATTGTGAGACAGAGCATTATGTAATCTTATTCACAGTCACAAGACTGTGCTCTGAAATTCAGGAGTTCGGAAATATTGTTTCGCTCGAACTATCTGTAGAAACCATATGTAGTTAATATAATAAGTATAAATTCAATAATAAATTTAGTAAAAATAAACATTGGAATTCTACAAGTAAAAAGAAATACAAAAATAAACAATTTAAAAGTGCTCATTATTTAGTACTAGAATTAATCTAACTAATGTTGAGACTTTGTTCATAATCGGACGACTGATTTCAACGATTTCAAACATTAAAATTCAATTCTTCGAAAGAAAATTGTTTCAATCGAACACTTATTGCCTCCAAAAGGCCAGAGTTTAAATTTACCAACAATAAACGTTGGAATTCAAAATATTTTAAAACAAACAACTTTAAAGGCTCCGTTTAATACCGGAATCAATCGGACTGATGAAACATAGTTGTTCGCAGATCAGACGACAAGATCCGCGACAAGCAATTAATTTCAAACGTACGATATCGACTATGGTCGAAGCGTCAACTAATCGAACGAGGCGATTAAACAGAGTAAAGAGAACCTTGAGAAATCTCGAGTCTGCAACTTTCATGGCGATCAATTCCACCTCGACTATCGACTAATACCCGCAGCACCTACGGAGACAATTACCGTGCGCCATATACGTGCTGTTCGTCCACGGAGTTCATCTCGCATAGATAGCCAGAGAAAGAGAGAAAGAGAGAGAGATTAAGTTACATGGCTTCGACGTGTATGCACGTCAATCCAAAACTTTATTTCGGTGCGGTTGACGTATATATACTCGTCGTGTGAAGTAAAAAATTACCATTTACTTTAAAAATTCCAAATTTTAATCAGAAGTAACAAAAACGTCATTCGGTGGTACGTTTCCTTTATATTACCAATAAAACTGCTGTATATTTTATAAAAAAAAAGAATTCGAATCCGTAAGGAATCACGATACTGACACATAAGCTGCGAAGTGCCATTCCGTGTGGTACGTTGCTTTCGAAAAATACCACGCTGAAATCAACGGAATTTCTTAAATTTTATCCTTTTCCTTTAATTTTCAGTTTTTAACGATTTTGAAGTTCTGAACAGCGACAATCTTTTCAACGATACTTTGTCGAATAAAAATGTCATCCTTCCTCGTTTCGCTTCACTTTTTTCGTGAAAATTTCCAACAGGAGCATTTGCCTTGCTCCTCTCATTGCTTGATTTCAATGACGCATGAATAAAGGGATTTTTGATACTGAATTCCAAGTTAACTGGTTAAAAGTCTCTCGGAGTTCCGTCCGTAGAATACGTTGGCGGTGGTGCAAGCATCCGGCAACCGGCAACACACAAACGGGACTACGTACCATCGGGGCCGCAACTACAAAACGCGTAACACAACAGATACAACGCGCAGGCCACGCACAACCGTTTCCTGTTGGCTGTTACTCCTGCGCGCAAGCAAAGCGCGTAGCTCCTCCGAACACGACGACGCGTAGCTCTATCTCCTCCGGAGCTGGACAATTTGCTTGCAACCTCGAGATTTATGCGGTCCCCCGCGCGAACACCGCGCCGGTACTGTTACTTTCCTCTTTGCGGAATCGGCCAACGCGAGGTGGAAAACGTCCGCCGACGTCTGCCGTCACCGTTCCGTCTGCCCTTTCGCTTCTTCCCATGCTTTTTCCCGGTTCTCGACCGGAAAAGTACGCGACACGTTTTTGAATTTGGCGCGCGAATTTCGAGAGAAATTTCCCTTTTCGAGATATATATATATATA